TCATACTAATCAACTGATTAAAAATCCATGTCGTACAATACATAGAAATTTTCTTTGAAGGAATCAACCGAAACAGCTTTCTTTCTGCATACCGACTAATCGGATACGATTTTCACTAAACACCTCTCCTAAACAGGAGATCTTGAATTTTCTATTTTCTCATTTGTTTTCATAATTTTCAATTAAACGGTTTTTTCAAAAGATCGAAATAATTTTGAGGATTTTGGAAGAAATTTTATAAGCTCAAATATAATATTAGTCTTACGAGGGAAGTCTCCCAACTGATAAATCGCTTTTAAGTCGAGGCTACGTGCATTATATAGAACCAATGAACTATGAATATAGTCTGAGAACATTTAAGATTCTTAGCTTATTGTTGCTGAAATATTGTATTTTTACAGTAGTTTTTAAGTGAGTGTCATGATTCTTCTCCGAAACATCGGGAAAAACTGATTTTCAAATTTCGACTTGAAACTTTGCACAAAAAGACAGTCCTTAAGAAAAATAGTTTCTTATGAATTTTTTAAATCTTATCATTGCTCATATATAGCAATAGATTCGATGTTCTTATTTTAGGGCAGAAGCAAATCAAAAGGCTTGACATTTTCACAATAAACTATTCTTAGTAAGGTCTACCTCGGTATAAAATTTCAAGTCGAAATTCGAAAATCAGTTTTTCTTGGTGTTTCTGAAAGGGATTATGACATTAATTTAAAAACTAGCATAAATTTGCAATATCTATATAACAATAACCTAAGGATCCGAACTCTTTTCAGACTATTCAAATACATGATGCAACATAGTACTGATCTAAAAGCGATTTATCAATTGGAACTGGGTATGTTTTGATATAAATATACTAATTAAAATTTCAATTTTGAGAGAAATTAATCAATGAAGTAAAGACTTCTATAACATCTGGCGTATAGTTTCTCCAAGAACGATCTTCTATTTGGGAGAAAGATTTAATTCAGAACGTAATCGATACCAATGATCAAGTTTTCGATCAGTTTTGTTGAGACTGAAAGAAATAATGAAAGCTGGTGAAGCTTACTTATGTCTTTCGAAAAGAAAAAATTTTCTATTTGTGTTTTATTTTTAATCTAATAAGATAATGTCTTACTTCGACAATATTTGGATGTTTTAATTGTTTAAGTACAGCAATTTCAAATAGAATTCGTTTTTTTGGTTCAAAACTTTCAACATATCGATGAATTTTAACTTTAGTTTTTTTAATAAATTTAATAACAACTCTATTTAATTCATTAGATTTTTCATAACCAAGATAAACTTGCCCATAACCACCACGACCACGTTGTCGTGTAATAATATATTTTGTATCAAATGTTTGATTATCATTTAATGATGATGATATATTTAAATATGATGTTGATAAATCATCTATTGGTATTATTGATTGATTATGATCAAGCATTTTTTGCATTTCAATTAAATGTGGATCAGTATTATCACGTGATAGCCACATACAATAACGATATGTTCCATCAGATAAATCAATACGACGTATTGTATAAATAACACCAATAAATGTTCCATTTTTATGTTTACCTATTGTTTGTAAAAAAGCTAAATGCAAAAAAAAAACAAAAACAAAAATTTAATTTTAACAAATTAATACTTAAATATATATAAACCTGT